TAGATATTGCAAAAAAATAATTTAAACCGACGCATTCTGTCTTAAGGGATTACGTTTTAGTTCCAAAATAACATGTTATCAGCGACAACATTAGAGCTGCGCGGTTGTGCGTAGAATTCTTTAAATTAACCAGTTAGCTGTGTTTGACGAGTATATTCATCATGGACAAGTGGCAATATTTTAAAAGTAGTGACCATTGGCTATTTAAATTGTAATTTAGTGAGAACAAAAACATATTCTCAAATTTCAAGACGTTTAGGATATTTTGAGACCAATCCTACACGAAGGTGCTTAAATTGTTATAAAAATAAGATTAGAAAATAATCAAGATATTGATGTTCGAAGTGCAAAGTGCCATTATGTATCGTTCCTTGCTTTGATGAATACAGCAATTTGAATATTTAACTTTTATAAGTATTTGATTCTTCCTGCGTTTTTCGTTTATTATGTATATAGTATATGTTAATGTTAAGTGAATAAGTAAATGTTAGCAGAAAAATGTTTAATTTTATGAAATAAAATCGTCTTTTCGATCCAATATTGTAGCAGCGACGCTTACTCTGCGTTTGACAAGTATACTCGTCATCGCTTGATTCTCGCGAAACATGTAGGTGCGCGCTCCGAAAAGAAGGCGCCACAGTTGACTGGTTAAATATCAAAGTTCCTCTTATGAAATGTTACTTGCTCTAGTTCTACAAAAGTATTCGAGTCGGAATCTATTAAAAGGAAGTAAACGATCAACCTGCTAGAACAAGACAAGTAAAAACTGCAAATCTTCATGTATCTACGGCACTTTCATAATTGCTGGTATACATAAGTCTCTGCTGATACTAACAGTAAACCGAATTTTCTCCTCGTTCTGGTTATTATAAAATAATTTAAGAAAAAAAAAACACGCATAAAGATCCGCAGTCGGACGATCGCATTGCCCAGGACGACCGACGCGCGCCACAGTTAACAAACAATATCGAACTGTCTTTGAACGAACGTCAGAGAAATGGTTAAAACGCTTCCGGCGTTTGCTGGGCGATCTCAGCGATTGACACGCAGCAACGGCGAACCATTTATTATTTCTTGTCCCGACGAATTTCTCTCCATCGACCGCCGTCTTTCCCGCTTTCCCCGAGATTGACGAAATAAGATGTTTCGCCGGTGCTCTTTATCGCCTCGCAGCGATCAATCTTTCCTGTTTTCCTTTTTTGTTGTAGCAGAAAAAGGCGTGGAGTGTTCCGCGCGGGGTGGCAGAGCGGCGACGGCTACGCGCTCTCCCACCCTCTCTCCCTCTCTCTTTCTCGGCAACGGAGACGAGTCGCGACGACCGGGAGGAAAAACGACGCAGCCCATTTTCACGGTGATTTCGTGGAAATCTCGTCGCGTGCCGCACGATTCAATTTTCCCGTAATATTCTGATTTAACGGGGCCGACCGCCTCGAGGAGAGAGACGTTTCTCCGGCGCGGCGCGGCGCGGCGCGACGCCGTGTTCGCGCGAGTGAGCCGACAGCCGTCGCTTTCCGCACTCGGTTACTCGCCGGATAATTAAGGCGTCGAACGTAGCCGGTGGAAATATTGCCGGGACCCCCCAGCAACTTCATCCCTCCTGTCAATAATCCAGAATTTCCTACGATGCTCGAGCAGTTTCGAATCTTCGCGCCGAAATAAATTACCCGCTTAAGAAATAAGTATTTCTGATCGGTTAATTTACTTTTTCACATACCCTGCTATACGTCTTAAAGCATTTATCGTAATCGATAGTTCATAAATTGCGACCGATAAAACCACCGTTCTAACGAGCTCGCTATCGCCGCATTTCCGTTGCCCATCTTCACGGTTAAAGATCAAATGTTTCCCTCGATGAACCGCGCTCATGTGGTGAAATATTCAAACAATTTAGCAAACAAAAGTTAAGGACTTTCTTATTCAATATTACGCCATGTGCTATGATTTTGCACAGCAACCTGAATAAAATGAGACTACTTTCGTGCAAAGTATGATATCGCATATTTCCGTCGTCCATCTTCACGGTTAAAGATCAAATGTTTCCCTCGATGAACCGCGCTCATGTGGTGAAATATTCAAACAATTTAGCAAACAAAAGTTAAGGACTTTCTTATTCAATATTACGCCATGTGCTATGATTTTGCACAGCAACCTGAATAAAATTAGACTACTTTCGTGCAAAGTATGATATCGCATATTTCCGTCGCCCATCTTCACGGTTAAAGATCAAATGTTTCCCTCGATGTAGCGCGCTCGTATGGTCAAATATTCGAACAATTTAGCAAACAAAAGTTAAGGACTTTCTTATTCAATATTACGCCATGTACTATGATTTTGCACAGCAACCTGAATAAAATTAGACTACTTTCGTGTGAAGTATAATATCGCACATTTCCGTCGCCCATCTTCATGGTTAAAAATCAAATGTTTCCCTCGATGTAGCACGCTCGTATAGTCAAATATTCGAACAATTTAGCAAACAAAAGTTAAGGACTTTCTTATTCAATATTACGCCATGTACTATGATTTTGCACAGCAACCTGAATAAAATTAGACTACTTTCGTGTGAAGTATAATATCGCACATTTCCGTCGTCCATCTTCACGGTTAAAGATCAAATGTTTCCCTCGATGTAGCGCGCTCGTATGGTCAAATATTCGAACAATTTAGCAAACAAAAGTTATGGACTTTCTAACTCAATATTATGCCGTGTACTATGATTTTACACAGCAACCTGGATAAAATTAGACTACTTTCGTGTGAAGTACGACGTCGCGAACGTCGCACATCTGTGAGAAGCCACGTGTTAAAATTGTTCCTTTCTAAAGTGATCGCTAGCCGAATCATTCCTCGTGGCCATTTTTGTATCATTTGCACCGTTTAAGAATTGTTTGCTACTTGTCCGAACGACGCACTTCTTAAAACTCCCGATTAAAAATGTTTAATTCGCACAAGCATTTGCAGTCTACTAGAAATTCGATACAATTTGCACTATGGTGCACTACTATGGTGCGCTATTTTCATCGCAAGGGAAGAGATCGGCTAAAATGCAGGTTCGAATTGGTGAAGAAATTGAACGAGAAAGAAGCTGCCCCTTTATCGGGCATCAGGAAACCTAACGCACCACGGTGATTAATGGTTCCAGCCTATGACTATCTATGGACTTTTGCCGCGCTACACTGTTCTGCACTTTATAGAGCGATCATTACTCCATGGGACGTGTTCAGCGAAAGAATTCGTTGGTACATTAATTTAACATTACATCTGTTTTGAGAATACATCGATCAGCGAATCGCTGCCGATTGTAAAATTCTTTTCACGGGGGGCCGGCGCGGCGGCAGCGTAATTCGGCATCGCTGAATAATGAAGGCGGCCCGAAATTCCGTGCAGCTTTTCAGAATATCGAACGGAACTCGTCTATGGTGGAAAATGTTTGAATTAATGATTTGTTGCTGCGTTCCCGATACGAGTTCCCCGTGTCGCTGACGCCGGCTTGATTTGTAATGCAAAAATTCCGTTCCACGCCGTTTCTGATATTTCAAATGGAATATTCATATCGCGCCGAACGCGGTATAATTTAACCATGGAAAGTAAAAATCTAATTGGATTAATTAAAAGTAACAGAGAGACTCGGTTTGCGAAAGATAGCCACGTCTATTTCGTTCGCGTTACTAGCAACTTTTAATGAACCAATCAACGTTAATACCGTCATTTAAATTCGAATTATTTCATTCTTATCGATATACTTTACGCAAACGTAATTATATCCCGTGTGATCAAACTCGTTAACGGAAATATGCGCGGAATAATTCATTCCCTTTGGGCATTCCGCATACGTCGAACGTAGGATTCTCGAAAATTTAATGCAACGGATAGACGAACCTGGTATTCAAACAACTTTGAATATTCGCAACAATTTATTTTCCTTATCGATTAACCAGTTAGTTGTGACGATTAACCAGTTATTCGCCTTTTGAATATTTGCAACAATTTATTTTCCTTATCGATTATCCAGTTGTGTGGCGATTAACCAGTTATTCGCCTTTTTAATATTCGCAACAATTTATTTTCCTTATCGATTATTCAGTTGTGTGGCGATTAACCAGTTATTCGCCTTTTTAATATTTGCAACAATTTATTTTCCTTATCGATTAACCAGTTGTGGCGATTAACCAGTTATTCGCCTTTTGAATATTCGCAACAATTCATTTTCCTTATCGATTAACCAGTTAGTTGTGTGTAGCGATTAACCAGTTATTCGCCTTTTTAATATTTGCAACAATTTATTTTCCTTATCGATTAACCAGTTGTGGCGATTAACCAGTTATTCGCCTTTTGAATATTCGCAACAATTTATTTTCCTTATCGATTAACCAGTTGTGGCGATTAACCAGTTATTCGCCTTTTGAATATTCGCAACAATTCATTTTCCTTATCGATTAACCAGTTAGTTGTGTGTGGCGATTAACCAGTTATTCGCCTTTTTAATATTCGCAACAATTTATTTTCCTAATCGATTAACCAGTTAGTTGTTGCGATCTCTTCGCAAAATGTGTACCCGAAGCATAGTACTTCAACTGCGTTTTTCCATTTTTTGTTTTTCCGTATTTGTCCGTTTAATTCGTCTCGGCTTTTGCAAATACTCAAAACATCTCAAAATTTACGAATACATTTTAGTTTCCACTAGAACGGCAATTTAAACAGCAAATCGTTACGATAACACAAAATATTGCCATTTCATCACGACGAGCATACTCGTCGAAAACAGCTGACCGGTTAAGCGACGAAAGGACGCGGTCCGTGCAGCCGTGCGACGGCAATTATTCGACGAAAGAATGGCTTATCGATGATCGTTCGTGGGCCAACAGATGCCAAGTATGTAGATTGAACCCGAGCGACGGCAGACCGTGGGGTCCGCTGGATCGTCAAGGACCGATCCATCGTAGTGAATCGTGAGAGGCCGCGGTTAGATTCGGATCGGATCGGATCCTCGATGTACTCACCTATGATGGTGTGCACCCTCACGGACAGCTGTGTCCTGAGAACGATCGAATTCTTTCGGCTGCAACAGAGAGAAACAAACAGAAAAATCAGTGAACGATCTCCACGGCATGACCGACGGAACTAGGCTAACCGTTCGGTCGCGAAACTCGCAGGCCACCGTCGCGGATCGGATCGGCATGGATCGGAACAGGGTGGAAAACCGACGCGATTGGCCAATTATTTCTTCTAGCTGCCTGCGATAGGCCTCTGGCCAATGATTCGCGGTCGCGAATTAATCGAGCCTATCGGCCGGTAATTAGTTAATCGGAGCTGCGTGAGCCGTTGGCCAACCGGGGCTTCGGCATGTTGCTCGGCGCGCGCGTGCACGCGCTAGCTCGCGCCAGCTCGCGCGAGCACGATTCCTTACGAATTGGGTTAAAGTGGCCGGGGCTGGCTCCCCTCTTCGGCATCTGTGTCTCGCGCACCTTGGCTAGTTGCGAACTTTAAGGCTCTGCGAACCTTCCCACGCCACGCGTCCCTGAGAACCTACTGCGACCGTGTAGACAATGGACTTCAGAGTCAGCCGGGGAAAAAATGGTGGCGCGGCGCGGGACGGCGCGGGGGAGGCGAGCAGAAGCAGACACCGGCCCAGGCCAAAAGGAGACGAAGACGAAGACGAGGACGGCCGCGGTGCTGCACCGCGCCAAACGCATCCGGGGCGAAAAGTCGGGTACGTACGCGCGTTAATAATGTTTCCGCTCGTTAAACGAGCGAGACGGGCCGCGATTACGCGTGTTCTCCTTTTCCCACACGCGCAACAGGCCCCTCCGGGCGTCCCGCTGCTCCTCGACCCGCTCCAACGTGCCTCCGGTTCCACACGTTGCTCGCGATTCCGACGCGGTCCGAGATCGATCCGAGATTAAACGCGATTGTGTCCTCGTGGAAACGTCGGGTCACGACGCGAAATCGGCTCTCCAACGAGGTGCACGTGCACTCCCGGAAAAAAAGTGCAACGGCACGCTGCCTGACTGTCTATCTCGCTCTCCGTAAGCGCCTAACGTTACTTCTTTCCACGGAATTCCTTCCCTCGAGATTGATTCGCCGAGATTTTTATGCTTCGCTTCGTGGGACTTCCTCGGGCTTCCTTCGTTCCTTGCCACCGGCTGCGGGATGTCGCTGAACTGCTCCCTCGAATTCGAAGGGAAACGAGAAAACGAACGACGATCCTTTGTTTCTTTAGTAATTCGATAGGCGGACGCAATAACGTGCTCGATGCTTCCAATTTTTCTGTCACGAGCGCGTTAATAGTCTCCGTTCTCGACGAGCGATTCGCGCAGCGAATAAATCGAACGATCGAGTCTCTTAATATATATCTATGTAATCTGAATAATAATAATAATAAATAATGTAATAATATAAATAATATAATATATCTTAATGTATATCTATGTATATAACTGTGCGAATTTTTGCGTACGGTCGAAATTTGATCGGATAATTAATGACTAGATCGCGGATTTTATGCATTCACAGCAAAATTGGACAAACGAAGCGCAGAACGGCGAAGACAAAAGAAGAATTTCACGATAGTGTAACATCGTTAAAAGAGGAAACACATTTTGAATTAATTCCTGTTTGATGTAATAGACGATAAAAATTTTTATTTTGCACGAGGATCTACAGTCTATTAATATTAACCTTTTGCACTCGAAGCTATTTTAACTGTAAATCTAAAATAATTTTTCTGACTTATGGCATTTTCATGTTATACGACAGAGTGCATTTTGTGCAGATGAAATTGAGTCTTGCGACCTCGCACGACAGTTGGACTTTTAACAATTTTTTCAGTCTAAACTTTGTTGATCTAAGAATTATTGTAGAACGTGGTCGCGACTCGAACGTAGTCGCCACTCGAGTACAAAGGGTTAATATATATATATATAACAATGACTTTGAAATATTCTAAGAATCCTACTGTTTTATGCATTTGTTTTTGTCCTAAGGGCATAAAACATTCCATTTCGGTATATCATTGTGATAAGCGATGAGAACAAGAAACAATAGTCGTGTAGTCATCTTGAAGTCTCTTTCGTTGCGACTTGATTACGTGTTTACCCCAAATGTTTACCTAACATCAGCCGACAATGCCTACGACTTATAAAAGAAGAGTGGCGATTCTTTCAAAACTTTAATAGATAGTGTTTAAAATGGCGCGATGGCTGCAAAGCGCCAGAAAATGCACTCTGTCGTATAACATGAAAATGCCATAAGTCAGAAAAATCATTTTAGATTTACAGTTAAAATAGCTTCGAGTGCAAAAGGTTAATATTAATAGACTGTAGATCCTCGTGCAAAATAAAAATTTTTATCGTCTATTACATCAAACAGGAATTAATTCAAAATGTGTTTCCTCTTTTAACGATGTTACACTATCGTGAAATTCTTCTTTTGTCTTCGCCGTTCTGCGCTTCGTTTGTCCAATTTTGCTGTGAATGCATAAAATCCGCGATCTAGTCATTAATTATCTGCAAAGCGCCAGAAGGATGAACCAAATGCAACAATGTTCGCCACTTATGTAAAAAGTACAAATTGTGAACAGCATAACAATCAACGTCCTCGCACGTTTCATTGGAAATTAGATGAAAAATATTTAAATTCGTCGTAAAGTATCTTCTTCGAAACAATTTTACAAGAAGCAACTACGGCGTTTCTTCGAATACTCACTATCGCGAACTTAGTCGAAATATAATCGTTAATTCCGTCAAATCTTTGCCCACACCTCGCACGAGGCTTACGGTCGAAGAATGCGAAGGAGTTACGCAGAAAGGGAAGGGAAACTTTTGATCCCGGTTGCTGGCGGGACTATCCCGTAAACAAACAATTTCCATGAGAATCAAGAGAAGAAGCCAGTGCGGCGTGGAGTCGTCGCGTTCCCTTAAGAGACTTCGAACAGAGAGGCAGGGCTGCGGCGAGAAGGGCGCGGGCGAAGGGAGAGGGTTGCTCGAATAAATTAAAAACTTTCCGGCACGGGGCCAAGTTCAATGTCGGTGGCCGAGCCGTGCCGGGCCGGGCCGGGTCGGGCCGCGGCTCCCCGACGTCTTGGTGGTCGGTGCTTACGTTTCCACGTAAACACGCCGGCAACGTCGTGCCTTCTTTTCGTTCGTATTGTATTCAATCCCGCGACTCGCGTAATTGTCGCGTATTGTTCGCCGGTAATTGCACGAGAGAACAGCCGTCGACGAACGTGTAGGAAACTCGCGGGGCCACCGCGTCTCCGTTCCAACCCTGGCGCGGCGTAGAAAGTAGAATTTCAATCTCGAGAGATAGAAATTTCGAAAGCCGGTCCCCTCCTGCGAGGACAGGTGAGACACGGGAGGATTGGATTCGTTGTTCGCCAGGAACGCGACTGCATCTGCGACTTCAAGGGGCCGAGAATTCCTACGGAGCTCGCGAGGAACGGCGAACCGGCACCCAGGGCGCGGCGAGACGCGAAGCGACCAGACGAGACGCGAAGCGCGACGCCTCGAAATAAGACCAGAAGCGGAAACAAGGGGCGCATTCAACCCTGCCGCTCCTATTGTTAACAGATCCGAGCGGATTCTGCCGGAATTCAAGAGAGATCCCGTTTTATATCGCGGGGCTGCCGGATCGTGTTTGTAGACGGCGCTCGGTCCGGCTTCGCAGCCGAATAAAACCGCCCTCGAGGCGATAGTTCGTGTAATAAACCGTTCCCTTTGGCCTAACGTAATCTCGAGATTTATCTCGTTTCGCCGTCGAGTCACTTCCCAAAGTGATTCTGTATTTATTCGTTGTAACTCTCTTGCCGAGTCCTGTCCGAAATTCTTGAAAGAAATCGAGAGATAGTTTCGCATCGATGTCTGAAAATACAGTAATGTCTCTCTACTTGACGCCCAGATTGACCATAAAAATGGACAATTTGGGAAGATACGATTATTCGAGCCTTGCGGTTTATTTTTATAGTTATAAATTGTCCACGATTATAAAAACGAGCCGCAAGGCTCGAATAATCGTATCTCCTCTTCCCAAATTATCCATTTTGGTGGACAATCTGAGCGTCAATTAGAGAGACATTACTGTACTTGGAATTCGATAGACTGCGCTTGCTCGAACGAATTTCGCAAAATTTTGACGAGTCTACGATGGAGTTGTTTTTTTTTCGTATAAAAATAGAAAATATAGAGCGCGGAACAATGTTTTGGTAAATTGAATTTTCGATAGAAATATTGGAAATCAGAAATGGTACGCGCGGGCAGCCGACAGCCATTACTTTTTTTTCTTTGCACATGAAATTGCGAAGGCTGAACGATAATTGGGTGTGCGACTTTGGCAAGAAGAGAACAATGGAGGGCAAATATTTAAATAATTAATGTATGATAACCTCATTCTCAAAACAGAGCCGCGATCTTGGAAGAGCGGTGCTAACGGTGCTACAGCGCGTGAACTAATTTTATAATCCTTAGTTTCCCGTCATTAAATTCTTTTGGCGCTCTAGGAAGCGAGTCTTCGCGGATCATATGTGCCGCGCTAGATATAGCTTGCCGGCGCTATAGTGGGTCGACGTAGAAGCTAATTAGCTTTTTTAATCAGCCGCACTCGATACTTGCCGTTTCAAAAATCACGTTCGCACGATGGAATAACGTCGACCAAATGAGGAAAAATAAAATTGTTCGATCTGTAGATAACTTTGGTGTTGCATGCACCGATTGATTAATACGCTAATATTATTGCTCAGCCATTGGTCTTTCGACGTATTTTTTATGGCATCTAATATCAAACTATTGAAAAAGGCTATTATAAAATAGTGAAAGAATGTTAGAATTGTCACCAGGGATGCATGAATATAATAGTAAAGCAGCTCGTTTTCGATAGTGTCACTAAAATTGTAACGATTTCCGGATGATCATTCTAACAGACACAAGAGTTCGAGTGTTCATTCGCTGTACAGATCAGCCTACAAATTAATTAATCGCAACCTCGACATTCAAAACTGTAAGTATTTCATCTATAATAGTTTTCAACTATACGGTGGAAGTTAATTATCCCGTCGATCAGACATTT